TGATTCTATGATTCTATGATTCTATGATTCTATGATTCTATGATTCTATGATTCTATGGTTCTATGAATTAGGGATCCAACACAACACAGAGATGGGTGTCTCTTGAGACCACTCCAAAACCTCTTCCCAGCATAGCCCACAGTAGGAAAAGCAAATCCCAGCCTTTGGCTCTCACGAGCCTGCCCACAATTTGCTGCAGGTTCCCAAGGGTTTCTGATAAACAAGAACATGTCTTGACGATTATATGTCTTGAACTTTCAGCCCTTTTGGAGTCTGTCCATCCATAACGCTGCTGCTTTCTAAGGCTCTGCTTTTGGGTTGAGTCCTGTGTCAAGCTGCATGAATCAAACTCTCCAGAGAAGTAAACAAAACAAACTCCCGCCTTAGAAAGTGGGTCTGAACTGCAAGGGCAGGAGTGGGACACGTCTTGCTCCCTTAGGCCAGAATAGCTCCCCGGTGATTCATCCCACCAGGGAGCTGGGTGCAACAGTAATATTAATCCTAACAAAAACTAAATATCCCAGGCCATCCTCAGGCACAGACTTTCAGAAGGACACACAGCTCTAGTTCCTGAGACCTATGGCATCTCTCCTGCTTCAGTTCAGTTAGGTGTCAGGGGGAAATTTTTCACTGAGAGAATGGCAAAGCATTGCACAGGCTTTCCAGAGAAACTAGATGCCCTATACCTGGTAATGTTAAACAAGAAGATGGGGTTTTGGGCAGCCTGATCTGGCTCTTGATCCAGCTGCTAGCAATCCTGCCTGTGGCAGAGGGTTTGGAACTTGATGACCCTTGAAGATCCTTCCAACCCAAGCCATTCTATTCTGTGATGACAGGCACCACAAACAGGTTCAAACTCGTGTATCTCCAGCATCAAGTCCACAAACCAATGAATCCCACAACACCTGCATGGCTTGAATCAGGCTTTTTCCCTGCCTGTTGCCTTCCTTCTTTCTCTCCCACACAGCCCTCTTTCTTTAGGTATCTCTACCAGGCCAAGCAGACAACAACATTTCCCCACCAAAGATTATCTGGGATACATCAGCTTTCCAGTCCACTTGGACATCAAATATATACAGGATTTAACCAGTTCCCCTATTTCATTCACCTCTGTTTTCATAAAAATAGAAAAAATATAAAATGAATGAGAATTGCATGAAACCATCAGCCACAATAGTTTGGAAGAGAGGGGCTGAGCAAAGGGATGGCAAAACATGAAAATGCAAAAAGTTCTATCTACCCAAAGATGGATGAGCTGGCACTTGAAGGTGAAACTATCTGAACACGAAATTCTCTCTGCAGAGAACAAAATTCTTGGAGAAACTCAAACCCACAAACCAAACTATAATGTTTTCTGACCAGCTATAATCTGTGCACAGTTAAAATTGAGAGAGGAATCAGTTTTTATTTCAGTAATTTTTCTGACAGTGGAGTTGATTTTTGAGAATAGATGTACTCAATTTATATGATACGGTAGGGGATACTCAATACAACGGGAGATAAAATGAAGTGAGGAAAATTATTACTCGAACATTTGACTTGCACAACACTGATACCCTCATGTGAATTCATTCATCACTGTATTAATAAAGGCCAAGCACTGATCCACTCACTGATCTATAAAGGCCAAGCACTGATCCAGTCACTGATCTATAAAGGCCAAGCACTGATCCAGTCACTGATCTGCTTTAGAAAGAGAAGACTGATCATAAATTTTTGCTGTTGAAATAAAAAAAAAATCATCAACAAGATTATCTTATTTTAAATCTGGAAAAAAATGCATCTTGGTTAAAAAAAAACAGATTTTTTTTTTTTTTGTGTGTGTGTGTGTGTGTGTGTGTGTGTGTGTGTAAAGCCAAACTTTGGATTCTGTATAAAACATAGGTGTACTTTGATCAAAAATACAACAGATCTTGGCTTTAAAATATTTTCTGTGGCTTTTATATGGACCAGGGTTTTGTAGAATTTTGTTATTTCCAAATATCCTCTAAACATCAATTCCTCATGAGTTTGGATGCAACACCACAGCCACTACCAATAAGACACTGTTCACCCAAGGTGACATTCAAGCTGTGAGGATAAGAGAAATAGACCAATGCTGCTAACCCACACCTCATGCTCCAACAGGGAGAGCCCAGTGACCAGCACTGATAGTGAGGAGAGCAGCAAGCTAAACAGCATTTCATTTCATTTCAGCCC